TGTCACCATTTCCTGTTTGGGGGAATATGAAAATCTATGTTTAGAACAATATGATTCTGCTCTAAGCAAACTAGGTTCATCTAGCATCCACATTCAGGGAAATGCAGACATGTCTTTAGTTGCCCTGCACATCTCACCATCTGGAAGGGAGGAATCTGAGAGCAAGGAAAGCCTCAGCAATAAACACCAGGCACCCCATTAACCCAGCCCTCAAGGAGGAGGGCGGGGCAAGGGCAGCTCACTGGCTGGAGGGAGGTCTTGTGATGCCTGAGTCTCCAGGCTGGCTGGTAGCAGCCCAGAGAATCAGGAAGGGAAGGAAAGAGAGCGGGAGGAGGAGAACAGTGGAGGGCAGTGAACGGGCCTGCTGGCAACCAAGGACAGAGGTTGCAGCAGAAACTGGGGAGGATGCGAGGGTCCACGGGAGGAGCCGGAGGAGAGACACCTGGAGGAGGCTTCCTCCTGCTCACCCTCCCCAGAAGGTGCCGATGGGCCGGGTGAGGGCTCACATCCGCTTCCCTCACTAAGACTGTGCAGTTCAGGTTGGTCGCGGGAACACACTTCTTTCACTTGAGTGATCAGTTGTGTCTCCCCTGTAATTTCAGGTTGGGTCTTTCTGCCTGCCTCCCCTCACTTTCACTCTGGCCTCAGTCTTCGTTGTTTTCTGGCAAACAAAATATGGTCAGGAGGAAGCGCTGACCACGCGAAAGGCAAAGGCCTGCCTCTGGGGAGTAAGATATACTCGCACTGCTGTGCTAGTTTATTTATGCTTATTAATTTAATCAATTTTAACATAGTGCTGTATAAACACGTATATATAATGCAAGCAAGTATTAAATGTGATGTACTATTATTATTTTATTATAATAATATCTATAAACCAATAATATATGTTAATATTAATAATATATAGGCTGATTTAGTTAACGACACCCCTGGTGAGAAGACTACTGAAGACTAAAGAAATCAGAAAAAAATCAGAAATCTGAAGATCTTTGAGAACTCCGTGCTCACGATGTAAATGGCGAGACGTGCATGAAGGTTCTTAGCCAGGGGTCCTCACAGGCTTTTCCAGGCCCCTGTTACGGGTCAGCAGTGAACCGTGGGGTGAGTGTCCGGGCAAAGCCCCCAGGCTGAGGCCAGGCCGGGCCTGCCGCCAGTCTCCTTCCTTCCGTCACCGCGCGTCACCTCCTCACTTACCCCAGTGTAAGCGAGTGTTATCACTTCTCCTACAGAATGAAGCTGTGTGTTGCAGGAGAGCTGGAGCAAACTCACTAGTGACATAAATCTTAAAACTACAGCGAGAGGGAGATGGAGGGAGGGAGACACATAAACAGATATCATGTGCCCTGGCTTTAGTCTATAGTGAAAAATTTATGAAAACAGAAAATGACGGGTGGAAAGGGAGGTGGGAGGGGGGACCGGGATGGGGAATACATGTAAATCCATGGCTAATTCATTTCAATGTATGACAAAAACCACTGCAGTGATGTAAAGTAATTAGCCTCCAACTAATAAAAATAAATGGAAAAAAAATAAATAAAAAATAAATTAATTAATTAATTTTAAAAAAAGAAAACAGAAAATGATATTAAAACTGGTTAGTCTTTAGCTTGTATTTTTATCAGTGCCTGTATTAAACAATTGATCAGTCATCTAAATATCATAGATTCTAAATCATAAACTAGGATTTTAAAACACTGTGGTTTTCTGTGTTGCCAAAATGTACTTTTGAAGCCAATGTCCAAATCATCCAGTGTCTTCTTTTTGTGAGTGTTGGTCACATGTTGTTTTTTTAACTTTAGTTTTCTATGTGAGATAGAGCCCTTTAGCAAACAGTGCTGTGATACTTTCAAGTGAACACCAAAGGGAACAATTCAGCCATTCACATGCATGTGTCCTTTCTCCCCCAAACTCCCCTCCCATCAAGGCTGCTACATAGCGTGGAGATCCATGTGCCAAACAGTGAGTCCTTGTTGATTCTTAACCAAAGCGGCCATCTGCTGCATCATCAGAGACCCTGTCAGAATGTTTACCAGAGGTTAGAGAGGAGTTCCCTGGAAAACACTCAGCCCACCCCCTGCTGCCAGATGAAGGCTGTTTATATACGGGTGCTAGTTTTGAGAGAGCTTGGTGAGCTGGACCAGCTCGTACAGAGATGGAAAGGGCTTGTCACCATGAACATTCCCCAGTAGGTTCAGCCTGCCCCGAATGCGCCCTGAGTCCTGACTGCTGAGCAGGCCAAGCCCCGTCCGCCCTCCGCCCCCAGCGCCTCCTCCCCCAGGGCCGCGGGAGACAGAAGGACTGCCCGCTCTTCCCTCCTACCCCCCCACTCCCGGGCGTGGACGAGCCCAGGGCCCTGCTCTGGTTGAAGGAGGAAGAAGGCCCAACAGCGGCCCCAGAAGAAGCACAGAGAGGCCCCTCCATTCCCAGGACTGGGGCTCATCCTGCAGGGCCGAGGGGACACGGGGGCGGGAGGAGCCTCAGCGCCGGACACTGTGGGAGCTTGTCTGCCAAACAGACTCAGGGACTGTCTGCCGGCTGTGGGATCTGGGGAACGGGAGAGATTTGGATGGACTGGGGCTAGATGGGAGGGTTTCTCATGTCTAAAGCATAGGCTGTGTCTCTCTGGGCTGAAAATATTAACCTCTGAGCACTAGATCCCACCAAAAGCAGAGTACTGGTTAGAGGTGTCCTGAGACGTGAGAGTTTCTCAGGGAGATGAGAGGACATACTAAGAGAATGTAAAATGCCTCGTAGAGCGTGAGGCACACACCCAGCCTTCTGACCCCAGTTTTGGGAGGTGGCAGTTTTTATGCATGTCTCTGCTAGCTCAGATGGTAAAGAATATGCCTGTAATGTAGGAGACCTGGGTTTGATCTCTGAGTTGACAAGATCCCCTGGAGAAGGAAATGACAACCCACTCCAGTATCCTTGCCTGGAGAATGCCATGGAGAGAGGAGCCTGGTGGGGTCCATGGGGCCACAAAGCTTCAAATATGACTGAGAGTGACCCCTTTCAGTGAGGCAGCTGGTGTCCTCGGGCCTGATCAGGGAGGAGCACGGCTGACTGCTGCTTCTGATGAGCCCTGTCCGAGAGAACAGCGCAGACAGGGGCCCCCGGGGAGTCAAGACACAGGCTGCTTAGTCAGCAGGACTGTGAAGGGTGGGCTGGGCACCCCTCGGGTCCTCTCCCCACTGCCCCCGTGTGCCCTGCAGTTCCGAGCTTTGGCCTGAATGCGTCACAGACAAGGACCCTTCGTAGCCTACCTATTATGAGGTAACAGCTAAAGGAATGTTGCCTATAGGCTTATACATAAAGTTCCATCTCTGGGAACCCTGCATCCCAGGTAATGAGCACCAAGCTAAAATAACTTTGTTCAGTTCACAAGAGACCTCCTGAGCAGACTCTCCTGTGAGTCATAGCAGGGAGGCAGAAATGAATACATCCCCTCTGGAGGCTGATTGGAATGAAGAAATATTTGACTCTTCTCCCCCTCCCCCCCCACCGCCTTTTAGTATAAATATGAAAGAAGCCTGAATTCTAACTCAGGTAAGGGGTCCTTGGGGCAAGAGTCCTGGGTTTCTGAATAAAGCTGCTCTTCCTTGCCCCAACAACTCATCTCTCAGTTAATTGGCCTGTCATCAGGTGAGCAGTACAAGCTTGGACTCAGTTACAGAAGAGCTGGCACTCTTGCTCTCTCAGGAAGATTTCCACTTTCATTCATTTAGTCATTCATTGCATATTTGAGTCCTGCTCAGAGCCAGGCCTTAGCTAACTGATGACTCACCCTTGGAGACCCAGCTCAGACCTCACCTGGTCCACCATGCCTTTTTCCATCGCCTGCTCTGCCCGCACAGTTTTCTGCCTCACCCAGGGCCCCTCAAGTCTTTAACCACACTTTAATGAGCGCTCCAGCTTGTGAGCCCTGTGAGGACTTCGACGATGCAGAATGGGGCTCAGAAAATGTGATGATGACAAATGATCAAATCAATGAGCTGGTTAAACACAAACCAGGCTTAGGTCACATTCACAAAAGGTGTCATCTTCTCCCTCTTTCCAGGGCCAGAGTTTCAGGGGGACATTGACCCAGAGCCCAAGGATCTTCTCTGACACTAACCTCATCTACAATATTACCTCTCTGGATGGATTTTATTTTCAGTTTTATTTCTTTTTACACTTGATGTCACTTCATGACTATTCCACTGAATATTGAGAAACTGAATGATCACTTCTGTTGTGTCTGGGCCAAGAAAGCCCAATACAGGGTAGGATATTGAGGAGGAGAAGGTCAGGGGAGTGGGGGGTGGGAAACCAATGGAAGCAGGCAGCTCCCACCCCCGTTCCCACCACCCCACCCCACCCCCTTTGTCCTTAACCAATCTGCCTGTGATTACCAGGGGTCAGTCTGTCTCCTCGCTAGATGGTCCATCCCTTAGAGACAGCTGTGGAGGTCACAAGACAAACCTAAGTTCTCAGGCCCCCGTGTGGCCCAGGAGCAGTCGCCTGTGCCTTCAGAGGGTCAGCTTCTGACCCACAGTGATGCTCTCCCAGAGTCGAGCGTGAGTTGTGGCCAGCCCTGCTCACCATGAGACACTGCAGCTCTTGCTCTGCCCTGAAACCACCCCCCTGCAGCCTGGCTGTATTTGGGGGGACGCCTGGACAAAGCAAGGCACGAGCGAGTCAGAGAGAGTGGGCGCTTCAGGAGCAGAAGAGATACAGAGAAACTTGGTCTCACTGTGGCCACTTCCAACTGGTCCCAGCCTAATGCCACCTGTCATACATCCTGAGTGGACACAATCTCCTGGGAGCTCAGAGGACTCTCCTGAGAGCTGGGAATGTGGAGCTCTGGAGGGTGTGGCTGGCATAGCCCCCCACATGAGGCTGGGGCTCTGGTGCTCTGCAACTGGCCCGGAGACTGAAGCTAGCCTGGCAGGTTTGCAGTGTAGACTGTCAGGGAGTCTGGCTGAAGCTGCTGGCGTCCATGGTCACACCTCCCCCACCCGTCTGACCGGTTCTGACCCCAGCAGTTAAGCAGGGCTGGTCTGGCCAGCATGTGACAGAACCTTGGGAGCTCAGCACAGAGGCTCTTCGGCCGCCTCTCCTGTCCTGTATCCTGGGTCTCTCTCTCCTTCGCCACCACTGCCCGTCCCCCGTGGAGTTCTCTTCTTAGGCCGCCGTGGGGAGGCCTGTGTGGAGTCCTGGTCGGGTGGGTGGTACGGAGGGTCCCGAGACGGGGTGTCATGGCTGGGCTGCTGTGCCGTGCCTGCTGGCGGCTCAGGGCCGGTGCGGCAAAGACAGTTCTTAGTGACGTGGACTGAACACGTAACTTTGCCATAATGGTAATTTTATATTCTGTGAGTTTTTCACAATTAAAAGAAAAGAACTTGGGTGTGTGTGTGTGTGTGTGTGTGTGTGTGTATTATAATGGCCTAGAAAGGAATATTCTCAAGCCAAACAGAGGAGTGAATCATGTGCTAAACCATAGATTAGTCTCAAAGACATAACACCAAGTGTAAGAAATCAGCATACATGGCCACTGTTGTACAAATCCATGCACCTTAAATATGCAGAACAGGCAAATCATTAGGGACAAAAAGCACACAGATTGTCAGAAGTTGGGGGAAGGTGGAAGGGAAAGTGACTGTTGAATGAATAGTGGCTTTCTTTGTGAGGAGATGAAATGCCGTGATTTAGGTAGTGGTGATAGTTGCACAAGTTTGTCAACAGATGATAGATCATTCAGTTGTACATTTTGCAGAATAAATTTTATGTGAATTTGATTTCAACTTAAAAATTGTGATAGATAAAGGATTTTTTTTTTTAAGATATAACAGAAGTAGCACATATTGTTCTTTTATTTGGTTCTCACTCTTCTAACATCTGTAGGCAAACAAAAATCACCCTAAAGAGAACAAGCACTGTTTATTGCACTCTTGCTCCATAATGTGAAGGAATCAGTTACCAACCGTTTTGTTCAGCAGAGACTCGGGCATTGTGGTTGCTGTTGTTCAGTCACTAAGTTGGGTCCAACTCTTTGCGATCCCATGGACTGCAGGACACCAGGCCTTTCTATCCTTTGCTATCTCCCAGAGTCAGGCATAGGCATGGGAAAGTTTTCTGATAGTAAAAAGGAAGCACATTGTGATCAGAGATTGTGATGCAGGAAAGCTGGGAGGGGGGGACTGGTTAGAAGACGGGCCTCCTCTATGTGTGTCTGAGGGACATATTCGGTTCCCCCTTTTACTTCTAAATAGGAAGGATGATTAAAAATAAGGCAGCTGTCAGTCACTGATTAAAGTCTGACTATTGAGGTTTAATACTGCAGGGGTTGTGATCGGGCTTTCTGGGTTGGTTGCTACAGATTATGGATTAAGGCTTCACATTGGGCTTCTCAGATTGGGCTGAGAAATTCCTTGGCTCCAGGTGGATTGAGAAAATTCTGTATATTGAAGCTGTTGTCAAAAGCCAGAACTAAGAGTGTTCCCAGAAACAAAGATGATCCACACCTCCTGCCTCTCCACCCACTCTCCACTCTCCACACGTCAACCTCAATTATCCAAAGCAGGAGTGGTGGCCACTTTTGTAATTTTATACTAACTATAAAATGTCTGAAAGCAAAATTACGGGATTCTATTTAATGTATACACATCTGGTGTATGTACAGCTTGGTGACTGTAGTGGTAAAAGAACCCAACTGCCAAGGCAGGAGTTGTAAGATATACGGGTTTGATTCCTCGGTCAGGAAGATCCCCTGGAGGAGGGCACGGTAACCCACTCCAGTATTCCTGCCTGGAGAATCCCATGGACAGAGGAACCTGGTGGGCTACAGTCCATAGGGTCACACATAAACGGACATGACTGAAGTGACTTAGCATGCGGGCACAAATGTACATCTTGAAATTCCAAAGCAATGCTTGAGAGAGCATGCTGAATGTTTGTATTTTTTATCTTTTCAAATATTCAAAAAAACATTTTCTATTTCAGAACTGGAATGAATTTTTAGTTTATTTTTTATTCCATAATTCTGTAGGTTAAAGTTACTCACTGTAGCATATAAACAAGAAAATATCAGCTGCATGAACATCATAAAATCTTACCTTTACTTGAACAGAGGCTTTCAAATGTCAAGTGACTCTGCTTGTTGATTTCCTTTCAACAAAAGGATTCAGGGACCATGGTACCTTTGAGTTATAGGTTTGTCATCAACAACCTGTGGTTTCAAATCTGGCCCTGGCACTGGGTCTATTCTGCTCAGCTAGAGAGGGAAAAGGATGCCTTGTGGGACATGTTCAGAGGCCAGGCCTGTTCAGAGCCAAAGGAACTTCTACTCAATGTAGCTTGGCCAGAACTCATGGGCATGGCCATCCCTGGGATCTGGGCGGCTGGAACAAGAGTCTGTTGCATGTTGACTTGGAAAGAAGTGAGAAGCTTGGTGACTAGGGCTCTACACTCTGTGTACAAATATTAACTTTAAAACAAATGTCTTTCTTATCCACATTTCATCCGATGAAAAAGGTGACTCACTATCTGATTCTACTAATTAACCCTGGGGAAAAGATCTGTGGGAAAAGACCAAGCATATCAAACAATGCTCTCTGAAAGGAAAAGTCACACTGATTCCCAAGAGTAAAGCTGGAACATGTCCAGGATTAAAGCTATCCAAAAGATTTTAAAAGAGGTGATGAATGTGTTTAGAAATATTTAAATATGAGTTGCCCTTGGTGCAATAGAATGGGAAGGACTAGAGATCTCTTCAAGAAAATGAGAGATACCAAGGGAACATTTCATGCAAAGATGGGCTCAATAAAGGACAGAAGTGGTATGGACCTAACAGAAGCAGAAGATATTAAGAAGAAGTGGCAAGAGTACAAAGAATTGTACAAAAAAGATCTTCACGACCCAGATAATCACGATGGTGTGATCACTCACCTAGAGCCAGATATTCTGAAATGTGAAGTCAAGTGGGCCTTAGGAAGCATCACTACGAACAAAGCTAGTGGAGGTGACGGAATTCCAGTTGAGCTCTTTCAAATCCTAAAAGATGATGCTGTGAAAGTGCTGCACTCAACATGCCAGCAAAGATGGAAAACTCAGCAGTGACCATAGGACTGGAAAAGGTCAGTTTTCATTCCAGTCCCCAAAAAAGGCAATGCCAAAGAATGCTCAAACTACCACACAATTGCACTCATCTCACTCACTAGCAAAGTAATGCTCAAAATTCTCCAAGCCAGGTTTCAATAGTACATGAACCATGAACTTCCAGATATTCAAGCTGGATTTAGAAAAGGCAGAGGAGCCAGAGATCAAATTGCTGACATCTGTTGGATTATCAAAAAAGCAAGAGAGTTCAAGAAAAACACCTGTTTCTGCCTTATTGACTATGCCAAAGCCTTTGACTGGGTGGATCACAACAAACTGGAAAATTCTTCAAGAGATGGGAATATTAGATCACCTTACTGCCTCCTGAGAAATCTGTATGCAGGTCAGGAAGCAAGAGTTAGAACTGGGCATGGAACAACAGTTTGGCTCCAAATCGGGAAAAGAGTACATCAAGGCTGTATATTGTCACCATGCTTATTTAACTGATATGCAGAGTACATCATGCCAAATGCAGGGCTTTTGCATAACTTAAAGATGAGTAAATAATTATTTATTTGTAAATATACATTTTTTTTTCTGAGTGCATCATGCAAAATGCTGGGCTTTAGAATAATTGAAAGATGAGTAAATAATTATTTATATATTAAAATTGAGATAAGATACACATAACCTAAAATTTAGCCTCTTAGCCACTTTAAGTGGCTAGTTCAGCTGTGACCTGTACGTTCACATTAATGTGTAACCCAGCTCCAGAACTCTTCTTGCAAAACTCAAACTCTGTACCCACTGAACCAGTCCCCATTTCTCTATTCCCAGCCTCTGCCCACCACTACTCCACTTTCTGTGTCTATGAATGTGACTATTTTGAGTCATTAAGTACTCTAGGTACCTCATGGGCTTCCCTTGTGGCTCAGCTAGTAAAGAATCCCTCTGCAATGTGGCTGATGTGTGTTCAACCCTGAGTTAGGAAGCTCCCTTGGAGTAGGGAAAGGCTACCCACTCCAGTATTCTGGCCTGGAGAATTCAGGCCATGGAGTCTCAAAGAGTTGGACATGACTGAGAGAATTTCACTCCCTGGGTACCTTATATAAGTGGACGTAAGTGTTTACTCTTTTGTGTCTGGCTTATTTCATTTAGCATGATGTCCTGAAAGTTCATCCACTCTGTAGCCTGTGCCAAAGTTCCCTTTATGTTTTCAGTCTGAACAAGATTCCAGGTTATGCAGTCTGTTTATCCAGTCATCTGTTACTGGACACTTGGGTTCCTTCCACCTGTGGGCTATTGTGCATCATGCAGCTATGAACCTTGCTGTACAAATATCTGTTCAAACTTCTGCTTTCAGTTCTTTTGAATATATACCCAGAAGTGGAATTCCTGGATCATGTGGTAATTTTAGTTCCAATTTTTTAAGGACTGGCCATGGTGCTTTCCACAGTGGCTGTACTATACTATATTGTCAGCAACTCTGCACAAGATTCAATTTTCACCTACATTCTCACCAACACATCTTATTTCTGTCTTTTGATACTTGCTATCCTAATGGGTAAGAAGTGGTATCTCATTGTGAGTTTTATTTGCATTGAGCATTCTTCTCTGTGCCTGTTGGCCATTTGTATATCTTCTTAGAGAAATGTCTATTGAAGTAAGCCCTTTCGGATCTTCTGTGGATATTATATTTAAGTGGTAGTGAGAACATTCAACAGTAGTCTAGTGAGATCTACACTCTGAACAAATTTCTAAGTGTAGAACATAGTGTCATTGGGCCTTCCCTGGTGGCTCAGTGGTGAAGACTCTGCCTGCCAGTGCAGGAGACTTAGGTTCAGTCCCTGGATTGGGAAGACACCCTGGAGAAGGAAGTGGCAACCCGACCCAGTGTTTTTGCCTGGGAAATCCCATAACAGAGGATCCTGGGGGCTGTGGCCCACGGGGCCGCAGAGTCGGGCATAACTCAGTGAATACACAACAACAGTGTCATTAGTTACAGACAAAGTATATACAGCGCATCTCCAGAAGGCGTGCATCTCGCAGAACAGAAACATCTTACCTGGTGAGCAGCAGCTCCCCATTTTCCTTCTCCTGCCCCCAGCCACCACAGTTCTACTCTCTGCACAGGTAAGTTTGACTATTTTATTCATGTATATATTATACAGGATTTCTCTTTCTGCCTCTGGCTTTGTTCACTTAGCATAATGTCCTTGCTGGTTCATACATGTCCCTGAAAAGAGCAGGATTGACTTCTTTTTGAAAACTGAATAATATTTCAGTATATGTGTGTATAAAGTGAAATGAAGTGAAAGTCACTCAGACGTATGCAACTCTTTGAGACCCCATGGACTATGCAGTCCATGGAATGCTCCAGGCCAGAATACTGGAGTGGGTAGCTGTTTCATTCTCCAGGGGATCTTCCCAACCCAGGGATTGAACCCAGACCTCCTACATTGCAGGTAGATTCTTTACCAACTGAGCCACAAGGGAAGCCCAAGAATACTGGAGTGGGTAGCCTTTCCCTTCTCCAGGGGATCTTCCCAACACAGGGATCGAGCTGGGGTCTCCTGCATTGCAGGTGGATTGTTTACCAACTGAGCTATCAGGGAATATATGTGTGTACACCTTATCTTTCTGCATTCATCTGTCAATGGACAACTTGGTTATTGTGAATAATGGTGCAGTCATTTGCCCATAATTTTAGCTCGGTTTGGTCACTTGTTTATTTCAATTTTAAATAATCAAGCTTTTAAACACTTTCATAGCTTTTGTGATGATGATAACTGGGCTACAATAATGTAATGTGTTAGTTTTAAAACACAGCCTTCATTGGCGAACTGACAGAGAGTAGCATCTGGGGAAACACTGGTCAGAGATTAGAGCTCAAGTCTTGCCTCCTTCAGGGACTGACTTCTCTGAGCTTCCCTTCATCCCCAAACAACGAGGGTCCTCAGCATCTCTAGGAGCTGCTCTCCGTGTTCCTGCTGTCCTGCCTCCTCCTTCTCCTCCAGGACTGCTCTGACGGGCTTCCTCCCTCCAGCTCGCCGCCTCCTGAGTTCAGTCTGGGCTCCTCTCACTGGCGCTTTCGCTGGGCTCCTGACTGCCCTCTGGCTGCAGCCTCTCAGCCTCCTGTTAGCTTTCTCCCTGTGGTAACTCATCTGCTTTAACTGGTTCTCCACTCACAGCATCTGAGTGACTCGTATCTCCCTTGGAAGGAGAGTGGCATTCACAGCCAGGCTCTGATGGTCTTTCACTCTCTCCCCTGCCCCCTTCCTCTGCCAGCCTTCACCCCCTGCGTCCACCCCGCAGTCCACACCGCCTTTGACATCATCCAGGAGTTTAGATGAACTCTCTGCCTTCACATCTGCCTTTTTAGGGGGTCTTGCTCTCTCTGTTGCACCTACCGCTGGCCCCTGGCTCTGGGTTCCTGGCTGCTGAACTGCATTTCCCCGAGGCCTTGGCTTGAAAACCACCGCTCTGCTGATTCCCTCTGACTCCCTCAGGCTGTGCCGTCACTCCTTGTCTTTCTTCTGGTCCTGTGTGCCTTTTCTCAGTGAGCACCTGCCACAAGCTGGGGCACTTAAGTCTTGCCTGATGTCCCTCTTAGGCCCGGGGCTTCCTGAGGGCCGGAATCTGGTCTCCAAGACTCGCTCAGGCCCAGAGGTGCTCACTGCTCACCTGCTCAGAGACTGAGGCCTGCAGCTCCCCTGTCAGGCCTGCAGGGCCATCTGCGTCTCATCTAAGGCTCCGTCCATGCTGTGGGGGAGCAGCTTTCACTCTAGGAAGCCCCGCTCCCCGTCTCCCCATCTCCCAGCAGAGCCCCTCGCCCTCCGGTGCATCCCCGCGGGCTCCCTCTCCCGGTCACTCTTCAGGGTCTGCTGCCGCTGGGGCTTCGGCGGCCCAGGATCGCCGTGTGCAGAGCTCACCAACCCTGCCTTCCAGGGGCTTCCAAGCCGGGGAGGGACAGAGAGGGGACCGACAGACGGAAATGCCCTGTGCCGCTTCACACAGACCCCGTGTACAGGCCACACTGACTTCGGAGTGAGGACAGGCCCCACGCCTTGCCCCCCTGCCAGCCTGCCGGCGGAGAAGGTGGGCAGGAAGAGCGCAGTCCTCTCGGGGTGTCAGGGGCCAGCTGCGCCCCGAGCCGCCCCGGCACCTTCGTCTGTGGAGACGGCCTCGGCCAGAGCCTCGCCGCGGGCTCCAGGGGGCTGCTCAGGGCCCAGAGGTCACACACCTCTTCTCTTTAAATAATTTTGTTTGTTCATTTATTTCGGCTGTGCCGAGACTTCAGTACCGTGGGGGCTTTTCTCCAGCGGTGGGGCACGGGCTTCTCTTCGCGGCGGCTTCTCCGGCTGCAGAGACAGGCTCCGGAGGCACGGGCGGCAGGAGTTGCGGCTCCGCGCTCTGCCGGCGCGACAGTCGTGGTGCGCGGCCTCAGCTGCTCCGGCGAGTGGGGGCTTCCTGGGTCGGACCTGTCTCCTGCGTTGGCAGGCAGATTCTTTACCGCTGAGTCCTGCCCAAGGTCACACCCTTCCAACATCTACCAGCTTTATTGGGGCCCAAGGACTGTTGAAGCACCAAGGGGCCATAAGAAACACCCCAGAGCGGCCAGGCCACTCAACTTACCCCCGTGGAAGCTGACCCCAGCGGAGCGCGGGGATGCTGTCCCTCGGCGCGTGGCCCAGCCCGAGCCTGGGATCCTCACTCCACGCCCAGGGTCTCTCCTGAGCCCACCGCTTCCTCCCCCAGGTCAGAGGAGAACACCCGGGCCCACACCAGGCCTCTCAGGATCCGCGGCCCTCGGGAGGCCTGTCTGAGGGTCTTGGCAATCAGACAGAGCTTTTATCAGAGGAGCTGAGAGGGCGAGGAGCTTGGCTGGCTCCTCTCCTGTGCCCATCTGCGTCTTCTGCAGGCTCACTTTCTACTCCTCACGGTGACCAAGAACTTATAGCTTCCCAAGGAAGTCGCTGCCACATTTTAACAAGTGTAGTAAAAGGTCCTTCCTATGTCATTTATCTTTCATTTGCCACCAGAACTTTGGACAAGCAGTGGCACACTCAGTCAAGCCCTCATGTAATTGCAGGCACGTCTAAGAAGGGTTCCTGCTGAGCCCTCCAAGATTAATTCAAGATAAAACTTCAAAATGAATAAAGAAAAGATTAGACACAATCCAATTTAAAAAAAAAGATAAAACTTGAAAAAACTCCCAGGCAATTGAACCTCTTGAGCGGTGGCATAAAATCATTTTGTTTTAATCTAGTTTATTTACTGTGGATAGTATTCCAAAACAATAATTAAAAAATCATAGTGTTATTTTAGCCTTTATTTCCGAAGGTTTTGCTAGTGGGCTCCATGTGTCTGCAGAGATCGGTATGTGAACATGAAACCACATCATTTCTAGTCTGATGAAAGTTGCCATCTTCCTCTTCTCTGCACAGGCAATCGCCACCTCAGCTCACCCGCAGCTGTTCAGGCCGTCAGGAATGGAGGCCAAAAAAGCTCCTGTGCTGTAGTCATAATTGTAACTGGATCCCTTAGAAGCCAGCCCAGTTCATCTCCACCCCCAGGAGCTTTAACACCTTGCTACTCAAAGTGCAGCCAGGAATCTGCAGGAATTGGCATTACCTGGGAGCTTATGAGAAATGCAGAACCCCAGGCATATCCCATCTGCTATATCCAAGGCTGTACATATCCTTTCCATTGATGAGAGGAAGGAAGCCTGCAGACCCTGATGCAAAGCTCAATGCTTAATCTTTCTAAGCAATTGTGAGAGCGCATATTGTCCTTCCACCTTTTTTGTGTTTTTATTAATTGATGCATAGTTGACTTCTACCTTTATATTAGCTTTCTGTGTCCAACATAATGATTCCTTATCTGTATATATTCTGAAATGATCACCATGATAAGTCCATCTCATGTCCATCATCTTACATACCTACAACTTTCATGTGTGTGATGAAGACATTTTAGATCCACTCTTTTAGGAACTTTTAAGTGTACAAAATAAATAGTATTATTAGCTATACTTGCCATGCTACACATGATGACCCCATGAGTTTCTTGTCTATAATTGTGAGCCTGTTCCTCTTGACCACCTCCGCCCACTCCTCACACCCCCACAGCCCGCCCTTTGCAACCACCGATCTGTGTCCTGTATTGATGACATTGGTGGTCTGTTTTTTATTTACTTATTTATTTTAACATGCCACGTGTAAGTTGGATCACCCTTTTTCTCTCGGCCTGCAGGACTAGTGCAGCTCTTAGGAGGTCCTGGATCAGTTACCCTCCCAACATTCCATGTGGAGTCCTGGGACTGCCCCTGAGAATGATCATTCAGTGGATGGTAAACTCGCTGAGATAGGAATGTGATCTCCTCCCACCGCCTGTCATGGGGCAGATTCTCCCAGCCCTAGTGTGTGGCTCTGGGGCATTTCCACTCCACATCAGAAAAGTGTGTGGTCATTCAGTAATGACTCTGTTTCCAACAGTGGTGATAATGGACATCACCTTTGATAAACACTGCATTAATTAGAGCAACTGTTTGGAAACACAAATCCAGACTTGAACCTCTCCCCTTGTACTATCAAACATCTGGCAGGAAAACAACTCCCTAAGAGACTTTCCCCAGATTTTACCCACAAGGTCAGCTGACCATGTGTTCTATAGCACTTTACAGAAGGTTGTTTTTACATTAAACCACAAGAGTGGGTTTGAATCTGCCCTAATCCTAGGTTATGCATAACTGACTTCTGTAAGTCAGGAAACATTAAATGTCCTCTTGGGATCTATGGACAGATATGAATGAGAATCCACTCATATAAAAAGCCACAAGCAAATTTTAATTGCAAGTATAGCTGGCAGAGTTCTGCCCTGTATGTTCCCCATTTCAGAGGATGTTGAAAGCTTGAATAAAGTGACATTCCCATGGGGAGGATCCCTTGTGTTTCTAGAGTACACATTTCAACCTGCTTGATTAGTCCCCTTGGAGGGTCATCTATCACTTTCCAGTGTCTATATTTAGCAAAAGATAAAAACTGCCATAAGTTAAGTTCTCCACTGGCCAAATGTGTCTAGTTCCCATACCTTCAGAGATAACACTTGGTTCTTTGGCTATAGTAATTTAGTACCCAGGAAACTATCTGGCCAAGTGCATGACTATGTGATTTTGGTGGCTATTCTCTGAATTGTGTAACTTAAAGAAGATCACAGAAATTATGTAGATTATTTTATGTGTGTACTTATCTGCAACCAAACTGCTGTCACTTTTAACTTTTTTATCTACAGCCTGATCTTGAATCTCAAGTCACTCAGTACAACCAATGTTCAACCAAATATCCAGGAGCAAATGGAACAGGCTGGGGTGTAAGCCCAAAGATTAATACATGTCAGAGCTGATGAATGTTAGAGATTACCTAGGTCAATCTCCAAATCCTCCAAACATGTGTGGCATCTCCAGATCATTGCAGAGCCAGGCCCTTTCCAGCACACCCCATCACTCATCCTTCAATCATCCATTCAATAGTGACTGAGAATCAACTCATGTCAGGGGCCAAAAAAGGACCATGAGCAAGACACAGCCCTGCTTTCATGAAGTTTTCGGCCTAGCAGGAAATCACATAAGAACTGACAATCTGATCAATGTTGCAGAGTGTGAATGCAGGTGCTCTGGGAGCTGATGGAAGGGTTAGGGAAGACTCCCCTAAACAAGGGGTATTAGACATGAAGGTGAAATGACAGGGAGCTGGTGGAACAAGGGGTAGGGAGAAGAGCTCCCCAGGCAGGAGGAACAGCATAGATAAAGTCTTGAATCGGGGGGAAATGTATAGTGTCAGGCACTAAAAGTCCAGAATGGCTGGAAGATTAGAGTGAGGAGAAACATACGGGACCTTCATGGAAGTTCCTGGAATCTTGGGCCTGCTGGTAGTGAGAAACTATTGAAATTTTTTAAGGCGGATGTGGTGTTTTCTTTCTTTTCTTTCTTTTTTTTTATGTAACATTTTCTGCTGTAGGAAGGATAGATTAGAAGGAATGCAGAAAGACCCTTTGGGGGCATAGGACAGGCAGAGGTGGAAAATTTGACAAATCAACATAGAAAAGGATGGCAGATTCAATTAAGGAGTGACAGTTGAGACAGAAATTAGAGTAAACATCACCCTGAGAACTTGATTCAACTTGACCACCCTCCTGAGAGGTTTTCCTGGTGGCTCAGATGGTAAAGAATGAGGGAGATCTGGGTTTGATCCCTGGGTTGGGAAGATGTCCTGGAGGAGGAAGTGATAACCCACTCCAGTATTCTGGCCTGGAAAATTCCATGGACAGAGGAGCCTGGAGGGATACAGTCCATAGAGTCACAAAGAGACACAACTTAGCAACTGAGTAGCAACTGAGTGCACAGGCTCGGTGTTTGTTCTAACTGAGATTACTGAGAGTGACTTACCAGTTTTACATCTACCTAGAGGAGATTTGTCTCAAAGAACAAAATTCACAATGTAACTCTTTCTAAAGTATAGCTCTCAGCATATGTGTTTAAAAAAAAAAAAACCACCATATTTTTAGAGTGGAGGTTGGCAAACTTCTGTAAAGATCCAGAGAGTAAATATTTCAGCTTTGCCGTATGACATCTGTTCCATCTACTCAGTTCAGTCATTCTATCCAAGAAGCACCACAGATAAAACGTACATAAAGGGACTGTCTCAATAAAGCATTACTTATAGACAAGGAAATCTGAATGAATATAATTTTCATGCTGCAAATATTATTTTTAAGAATTATTTTCAACCATTTAAAGATATAAAAACCATTTTTAGCTTTCAGGTCCTACCAGCACAATATGGGAGCAGAATTTGGTCCATGGGATGTAAGATGCATGGCCTATTCTATCCAGTTAGAGTGGAATCTCCCACCTGTAGAGACCACCATTCCAAAACAGAGGGATTTTACAAGCCATGTGCTGAGACTATGAAACTTATTATAAAAAATCCAACACCATACTACCCAAAGCTGCCTGAGGTGTGAGGGGACAAAGTCCTTCCCCGGGGATGCTCCGTCCCCTGTCCCCTGCCCTGCTCATGCCTGGCTGCCTTGTTACTGCCAAAATCTCGTCTTTCTCTACCCACCACATTAAAAAATAAGGAGACGGAATTTTGGAGGAAGTAGATGGCTTTACTTCTCAGCTGGCCAAAGGGGCACGCAGTGGGCTAGCATCCCAGGAACAGTGCCCTGTCCCCACCTGTGGGAACTGAGAGAATGTATACAACCTGGGTCTCCTGGGTCCCTCAGCCTGCCACCTTCCTTCCGAGATGCAAACAGCTCCAAGGGGTGACTTGCTACAAGAGGGTGCTGGGAGAGCAAAAATGTGGTACAGGATGAAAACTACATAGAATTAGGGGACTTCTGGTTACAGACACTACAGGCTAGTAACAAAACTAGGAGTGATTAATTCTTTGACGACTGGTCATGTTTCTTCTCTAGTCTCTTCG